CCTCTTCTTTCCAGTTATTGAGTCCTTCCTGTTCTCTCGCTCCCCCTCTCCTCCCCTCTCCGCCCTTGGTTACATTCAGCGCTCGCTGGCGAGTAACATTACTTATGCCTGCGTGCTTATGCAGACCACGGGCACATTATGTCTTACTTTGGCTTAGCAGAAGTAAGGGCGTGATTGCATGATGCTTTCTGGTATAAATGGCTCTCCCTGGTGTACATGCCCTGGCCAACAAATCATACCGCAACAACCAACACATCCAACAAAACAGGCACACATTTGAGTTACATTCTCAGTGGCGCGAGCAAGAAACGCGGTCCAGATCAGGTACTGTTCATGATGCAAGCTTGAGTTTCGCATTATGCATGTGTAATCCCAATCTTCGTCGTATGGGTCTACTACGATGGATTATCTTTCTGACTGCCATATCAAAGGTATCACGCGCTGGCCATTTCACAAGGATAATGAGGCACCATGCGCGCGCGTCTGCCATGATAGTGATGCATTGCTATGCTGCTCACTGTGGGTTTATAGCCTTGTTCACGCGGCAATTCACTTTAAGCGTAATGTGTATGACAATGGCTAAACTGCTACGGCAATAACAGCCGTGCTGGTCTGAAACGATTTTCAACATCACCCAAACGTGCGATATATGATCTTCGTGTCTGTTGCTACAATGGCAGTAAATAGCCACGCCGCGTTCCATGTTCGTTTGCATGAGTGGTGTGACGCGTGCACGTGTACACGCGCATGTGCATCTCGCCATCTGTGTGCGTCCAAGTTGCGCATGCGCTTGGGTATGCCTGTGTTTGTGCGAAATAGCGGTGGCAACACCAATGGCGTTTGTGGGAGCCCGCCGGTTTCTGCGCCTCCCCGTCAGCCCCTCCTTTCCCCTGCGTCCCCCCCACTGCCCTGTCCCTGTCCTCTGTCCCAGACCCTTCTCTCACCCCTGCCCATTCAGGCAACAGAAGTCCCACAGGTTCCACAGACCCCACAGATAGAACGAGTCCCACAGTTCCCACCTGCCCCACACAGGTCCCACAGGCCACCTTTGCTGCTATTAGGCTGCTTTTCTGGGGTAATGGATCTCCAGGTCGGCTATGACACGTGTCCGCGGATAGAGAAATTATTCACTGCGTGGAGCTCCCCATATGTGCATCTACTCGCATTGACCTGTCCGCCGTGAATGTCTAGGCGCAAGAGCTTTCGAATACTAACGGGCTTCAGTTGTGACGGTCTGGACATCAATCTAACTGCGAATGAATTGGAGTGTGAATGAGCCTCAGTAGTACGAGCGCGTCTCTGTGCATGAGCCTGGGGCCTCCTGGGGCCTCCTGAAACCTACTGGGGCTTCCTGGGTCTCCAGGAGCCTCTTGGGACCTCCTGGGAGCTCCTAGGAAGGTTTCGTGCCCCAGGGGAGGCGCAATCTATAGCAACAGACGTACATAAAACATTGCGGATTAGAGCCACAGGAGAAGGGCAATCTATAGGAACACGCGTAACACACCAAGGACTCGTGCCCCAGGAGAGGCCCAATACATAGGAACATGAGTAAAACATTTAGGATTGTGTACACAGGAGAAGGACCATCTATAGAAACATACGTAGAACATCAACGAATCGTGCTCCAGGTGAGGCCCAATCGATAGGAGCATACGTAAAACATGGGATTGGAGCCACTCCTGTTGCCTTCTGAGGCCTCCTGCTCCTGGGGCCTCTCGGGGCCTCCTGTTGCCTTCCGAGGCCTCCTGGCGCTTCCTGTTGTCTCCTGGGGTCTCCTGTGGTTTCCTGAGGCCTTCTGGAGCTTCCTGGGGCCTCCAGGAGCCTCTTGGGACATCCTGTGGCCTCTTGAGTCTTTCTGTGGCCTCCTGATGCCTCCTGGGACCTCATGTGGTCTCCTGGAGCCTCCTGGAGCCTGTTGGAGCCTCCTGTGGCATCCCGAGAAGAATCTGCGCCTGAGACATCCCCACACAATGGCCGCGAACGAGCCCGTGCAACCACCCCTGGCGGCTCCCCTTGGGGGTGCTGAAACCAGCGCCCCGCCTGAGACATCCTCACAATCTGCTCTCCGAGCGAAGGATGTTGGGCCCAGAAACAAGCTAACCGCCTGAGACATCCCCACAAAATGGCCGCGAACGAGCCCGTGCAACCACCCCTGGCGGCTCCCCTTAGGGGTGCTGAAATGAGCGCCTCGCTCGAGACCTCCTCCAAATCTGCTCCGAAAGCGAAGGATGTTGGGCACAGAAACAGGCAAACCGCCTGAGACATCCCCACAAAATGGCCGCGAACGAGCCCGTGCAACCACCTCTGGCGGCTCCCCTTAGGGGTGCTGAAATGAGCGCCTCGCTCGAGACATCCTCCAAATCTGCTCCGAAAGCGAAGGATGTTGGGCACAGAAACAGGCAAACCGCCTGAGACATCCCCACAAAATGCCCGCGAACGAGCCCGTGCAACCACCCCTGGCGGCTCCCCTTAGGGGTGCTGAAATGAGCGCCTCGCTCGAGACATCCTCCAAATCTGCTCCGAAAGCGAAGGATGTGGGGCACAGAAACAAGCAAACCGCCTGAGACATCCCCACAAAATGGCCGCGAACGAGCCCGTGCAACCACCCCTGGCGGCTCCCCTTAGGGGTGCTGAGTATGAGTAAGTTTGTGTATGAGTAAATCTGTGTATGTGTACGTCTGGGTATGACTAATACTGTGTATGAGTAAGTCTGTGTATGAGTAAGTCTGTATATGAGTATGTCTGAGTGTGAGTAAGTCTGAGTATGAGTAGGTCTGAGTATGAGTAAGTCTGAGTATGAGTTAGTCTGTGTATGAGCAAGTCTGAGTATGTCCGACAGGAGGGGGGGGGGGGGGGGGGGGTGAGGGGGAGGGTGGGGGGGGGAAAAAGGGGGGGGAAAAGGGGGGGGGGGAGGGGAGGAGAAAAGAGGAGGAGGGAGGAGGAGGAGTAGGAGGCGTCCAAGTAATAATTATTCACTGCGTGGAGCTCCCCATATGTGCATCTACTCGCATGGACCTGTCCGCCGTGAATGTCTAGGCGCAAGAGCTTTCGAATATTAACGGGCTTCAGTTGTGACGGTCTGGACATCAATCTGACTGCGAATGAATTGGAGTGTGAATGAGCCTCAGTAGTACGAGCGCGTCTCTGTGCATGAGCCTGAGGCCTACAGATGGGGGGCCCTCCTGAACCTACTGGCTTCCTGGGTCTGCCTTAGGAGCCTCTGGGAGCCAACTTCCTGGGACGCTCCTAGGAAGCTGTTTGCGTGCCGCGCGATGAAGAGGCGCATCTATAGGCGAACAGCGTACATAAAACATATGCGGATTAGAGCCACAGAGTAAGGTCCATCTATCGGAATCACGCGTAAAACACCAGGATTCGTGCCCCGGTCCCAGGTAGAGGCACCAAACTATAAGTAACATGAGGAAAGACTTTAGGATTGTGTACTACAGGAGAGAAGGGCAAAGCATACTATAGTAAAAATACGTAGAACATCAAAGAATCGGGCTCCAGAGGTGAGTGCGCAATCGATTTAGAGCATGACTTTTTAGTTTTTGGTAAAACACATGGGGTTGGAGCCACTCCTGTTGCCTTCTGAGGTCTCCTGCTCCTGGGGCCTCTCGGGGCCTCCTGTTGCCTTCCGAGGCCTCCTGGCGCTTCCTGTTGCCTCCTGGGGCCTCTTGTGGTTTCCTGAAGCCTTCTGGAGCTTCCTGGGGCCTCCTGGAGCCTCTTGGGACATCCTGTAGCCTCTTGAGTCTTCCTGTGGCCTCCTGATGCCTCCTGGGACCTCATGTGGTCTCCTGATCCTCTGAGGGGCTGCCTGTTGGATCCTCTGTGGCATTCGAGAAGGCCTGGAGAAGATCTGCGCCAACTGAGGCCTGGCACTACCTAAAACTAGCAAAACCAGCGGGGACAGAATAAATATGGAGAATAAATGGGGGCGTGGGTTCGCAGCTGCCAATGAGACTATAATAAAATATGAGGCAAAAGGGCGAAGGATGTGTGGGCGACAGAGCACAGGGGCAAACCGCCTGAGACATCCGGCCACATCTTGGCCGCGGAACGAGCCCGTGCACCACCCCTGCGGCCTTCCTTGGGGTGGGCTGAATGGGCGGCCTCGGCTGCGAGACATCCTCGCAATCGGGCTACGAAAGCGAAGGATGTTGGGGCTACAGTAACAGGCTAAACCGCCTGAGACATCCCCACAAAAATGCCGCGAATCGAGCGCCGTGCAACCCCCCTGGTCGGCTCCCCTTAGGGGTGCTGAATATGAGGGGCCCCCTCGGCTCGAGACATCCTCCAAATCTGCTACGAAAGCGAAGGATGTTGGGCACAGAAACATGCAAACCGCCTGAGACATCCCCATAAAATGGCCGCGAACGAGCCCGTGCAACCACCCCTGGCGGCTCCCCTTAGGGGTGCTGAATATGAGTATGCCTGAGTATGAGTAAGTCTGTGTATGAGTATAGGTCTGTGTATGAGTAAGTCTGGGTATGAGTTAGGTCTGTGTATGAGAAAGTCTGTGTATGTGTACGTCTGGGTATGAGTAAGTCTGAGTATGACTAATACTGTGTATGAGTAAGTCTGGTTATGAGTGAGTCTGTGTATGAGTACGGCTGGGTGTGAGTAAGTCTGTGTATGAGTAAGTCTGTGTATGAGTATGTCTGAGTGTGAGTAAGTCTGAGTATGAGTAGGTCTGAGTATGAGTAAGTCTGAGTATGAGTAAGTCTGTGTATGAGCAAGTCTGAGTATGAGTAAGCCCGACAGGAGGGGAGGAGAAAAGAGGAGGAGGAAGGAGGAGGAGGAGGAGTAGGAGGCGTCCAAGTAATAACAAGAACCCCATCTTAGGATATGGGGAATAACAAGAACCCCATCTTAGGATATGGGGAAAAATCAACGCAATGTGAAGGGATTGGGGGGAGGGACATGACGCCAGATGTGGCCCCAGCGCACTTAGCTTGCCCTTGTCCCCTGTCCCTTCCCCTTTCACACCGTTGCCCCAGGCGGCTTGGAATGGTCGGGGTCAACGGCAAGAAACTCCCGGACATCAGGGCGCACATGCAGCGGAACTTAGGGGATGTCTTCCAGGGCATCGAGCCATCTGTCATAGAGGCGCGAGCTACGATTCGGCGGCGGCGAAATCCAAACCCTACCCTCGTCGATCCACGATTCAGGCAACCCGATGGCCGGCGGGGGTAGGTATCGGAATTCGTCGAGGACGTGGCGATTTGTCAGTGGAGAGCCAGGGCTTGAGCAGATTTTCGGCTTGCAGACTGCCTTCTCAGTCTTTCAGAACCGCGGGCAGATTGCCCTCTCGGTTCTTCCCACTGGCTTCGCTTTTTCCGCGTTGACCCGCCATATTGCTCCCCTCCCCTCCCCCGCCCTCTGCGCATTGACGTGCTGCACATTACCACCCTCCTGCCACACTGGCTTCAGTGCGAGGAGTGGCCCTTCTTCCGGAACTATACACACGTCGGGCGATCGTTCAGTGTTTGCTGTGGCCTAGCATTCCGGACACGGCAGGACAAGTTCTTGGGGGGACGGGCCCCAGTCTTGTCTTGTTGTTGCTCCTCCTCTGCCTGTGTTTCTTATCCCTTCGGTCTGGCTGAGGATGCCAGGAGTGCATCTGGCAAGAGGAGGACAAAGCCCTGACGCTGGGAGGGAGGGAGGGAGGAGGGATGGAGTGTGTGTTTGTGTGCGTGTGTGTGTGTGTGTGTGTGTGTGTGTGTGTGTGTGTGTGTGTGTGTGTGTGTGTGTGTGTGTGTTAGTGTTAGTGTGTGTGTGTGTGTGTGTGTGTGTGTGTGTGTGTGTGTGTAAGTGTAAGTGTGTGTGTGTGTGTGTGTGTGCGTGCGTGCGTGTGTGTGTGTGTGCGTGTGTCAGGAGGAACGCATGCACCGGGCAGGCTGGGGACCGCCAGCCCCGCCGGCTCCTCGGGCGCCCTGCCGAGCCAAAGGCAGGACTCTTCCAGCCCAGCTGCGGAATTGTACTGCGCTCGAACCGCCCGCGCGCCTTCAGCGCCTGCTTGGGGACTACGTCGGAGGTGGATAGACCTCCTACCCTGACACGTCGATTAAGGAATTGGCCGTTTTCAGCTCGCGAGAGGGCGTCGCGGCCGTCATTTTTGCGGGTCCAGGCCCGTCGATTTCGGTCCCAGGCCGTTTTCACTAAGGGGAGGTTCACTAAAAGGAGGTTTGTCCACCGCCGACTACGAGTTCACCATGGCCTTGCCCTGGCGGCTGCACTACCTCGGCCCATGCGGCGCTGGCGGCACGACCTGCTGCAGCGCAGCCATCGGCGCGGCGGTGCCGTGCGGACTGTCGACGCGCGAGCTGGTTGCAGAGCACGCCAGCAGTGCCTTTTGGGATCGGGGTTCGTGCGCCGCCACGACAGCGCGCTGGACGCGCTGGGCGAGAGGATCGCCGAGCACTCCGGGCAGAACGCGGGCCGAGCTGGACCCCTCCGCGCATCGAGGTGCATAGAGGCCTGCTGGATCGGGGTCGGGACCGGGCCGAGGTGCCTTCGTTTCTTCACCTTCTTGGGCGGGAGGGCGTCAGGACGGGATGTGCGCGTTGGCCGTCTCTGCCGCCTCGAGGCGCGACCGCGTGGGGCGACGGGGGCAGGACGGAAGCCAGGGGGGGGGATATGCAGTCGGCGCGAGCGCAGGGACTCGCCACTGCTCGGAGGAGGGAAGCTGCGCAGATGCACCTCGCTCCCCCCCCCTCCGATGGCCACCCCCCAGACCCTCAACGACGGGGAAAACAATCAGAGGAGGTGGGGGGAGGGAGGGGGAGGCTGGTGTCTGCACATTGACGCCGGGCGACGGCGGGGAGCATGGGAAGGAGCAGGAGGAGAGTGTGGTGAATGATGCGGCCTCCTGCAGACGTGGCCAGCTGACGGCGTGGTCGCACCCACGGCGTTCAAGGACAGCTTCCGCAGCCGCAGTGCCACATTGAAGTCTTTGTTTCCATATCCATCTCGTTCGTTCTCCCTCTCTAGCTGTAGGTTTATGTGTCTATGAAGAAGTCTACGCACCCATGCATTTACATGTATATGTATGTGTGTGTACATATATATATATATATATATGGTCGATCCCCCCCCCAGCGACCCCCCAGAGCGCCCAAAGCACGAATCCACAGAATCGCTTCGTTGAAGCCCTTCGTTTTTTCACAACTCAACTTTGACGTGCCATCCAGGCTGACAAACTCATCCGCTCGGCCCATCCGTCACGGGCACCGTGCGCGCAAGCATATCGGTTTCGGCCGAGGCCACGAAACATTGTGCATCACATGTTTTTCTGGTTTTTCTGGTCTGGGAACCAACGAAACACTGTGTATCACATGTTTTTCTGGTTTTTCTGGTTTCTGGAGCTGAAATGCTCGCCGCGGCCTCGCCCCACCGCCCACCCCCTCCTGTTTGTCGGCGCCTGAAAACCAGAAAAATCAGAAACACCTGTGATACACAGTGTTTCGTTTGTTCCCAGACCAGAAAAACCAGAAAAACATGTGATGCACAATGTTTCGTGGCCTCCGAGCAAGAAAACATTGTGCATCACATGTTTTTATGTTTTTTTTTTTTTCTGGTCTGGGTACCAACGAAACACTGTGTATCACATGTTTTTCTTGTTTTTCTGGTTTCTGGAGCTGAAATGCTCGCCGCGGCCTCGCCCCACCGCTCCCCCCCTCCTGTTTGTCGGCGTCTGAAAACCAGAAAATATGAAAAACCTGTGATACACAGTGTTTCGTTGGTTCCCAGACCAGAAAATCCAGACAAACTTGTGATACACAGTGTTCCGTGGCCTCCGAGCAAGAAAACACTGTGTACTCTTCGGGGGCTACAGCGCTCGCCGCTCCCTGGCAGTGCTCCTTGAGAAAAGGCCTCCTCCAGCATCTTCCCTGTTGCCAGCCACAAATCTCCGCCCATGTGCCAGTACAACCACTGGTAGGAGCGGATCTTGTGGGTCAGCGCCTTGGTGTTCACTGTCTTATTACTCCCTAAGTGTTTCCGCAGCTCGCCCCAGGTGCGGTCGATTATCTGGGTGTCAGCTTTAACCCAAACGCGCTTGGTCTTGTTGGGCTTGCTGTCATCTTGAACATCGTGGTGGGTGATCTTGGTGAACTTAGGCTTGATCCACATCCACTTACCCTTGACCAGGGTCAGCCAGGCCCAGCGCTTCTTGCCCTTGGGCGTCGCCCAGTGGTTGAAGCGCGCCTGCTTCGAGCGGAAGGTGGCGAGGGCAGTCTTGGCTTGGTCAAGTTCGGCCTGAAGTTCTCCCAGGAGCTGCGCCTGCTTGCCGTTCTCAGCAGTCAGCTTCTGCTTCGCGTCCCGCAAGCCTTTGAGCTCGCCCTCCAGCTCCAGCTCTCTCGTGCCCGTCGCCTCCAGTTTCATCCTGAGCACCTGGTGGGCGTGTTCTGTTTTGTAATGCCACTACCATACAGTGGAGGGAGAGGGGGTCCGCCTCCTCATTCTCCTCGCCCTCCCCCTCCTCCCCCAACATATGGTGGTGGTGGTGGAAAACAAGCCCCTCAACACCCTGTTCTTCTCGTAGAGGCGGTCTAGGCACTTGTTGGAGCTTTTGGCTGCGTCGGCTAGCGCGTCGCAGAGGGTCCTGTGTGCCTTCCGCTTGAACTGCGCCGCCGCTTCCTTCAAAGACTCCCTCACCCAAGGCTTGTTGAGGAAGTTCTTGGCCTCTCTGACCCGCGCCCTGTTTCTGTTGGCAGTGCGCTTCCTGTCGAGCGCTTCCTTCGAAGAGGCAGGCATGATGACAATATCAAGCCAACTTGAGACAAGAGGGGCTACTGACGAAGAGAAGTGATAATGATAAATCATCGGCATCCTCCTCCTCCTCCTGCTCCTCCTTCTCCTCCTCCTCCTCCTCCTCCTCCTCCTCGTCCCTCCTCCTCCCTCTCTTCCTCTCCTCCTCCTCCTCCTCCTCCTCCTCCTCATCCTGCTCCTCCTCTCCTCCTCTCCTCCTCCTCCTCCTCCTCCTCCTCCTCCTCCTTCTCCTCCTACTCTCTCTCCTCTCCTCCTCCCCAGCCTCCTCCTCCTCCTCATCCTGCTCCTCCTTCTCTCCTCCTCCTCCTCCTCCTCAGTCTCCTGCCCCTCCTCCTCCTCCTGCTCCTCCTCCTCCTCCTCCCGCATCCCTCATGCTCATCCGCTCCATCCTCCTTCCTCCTTCCTCCGTCCTCCCTCTTCATCCCCTGCCCTCGGCATCAAGGTCATCCTCACCGTCCTCCTTCTCATTTTCATCGTCCTCCTGATAATCCGAAGCCCAGGTCCATCTCAACACCTGTGCCAGCCGTAACAAGATGAACATCGATATGATGCGCAGTCCGATGAGGAGGGGGGGTGAAGATTATAGGCCCTGGGGGGGTCGCCGGGGGGGGGACCAAACATATATTTCTATGTAGATCTATAAAATTTGCCGTTGGCCAGTCCCGCCACCGTGCTTGAGTTGTTGGTGTGAAGTCTATTGGATGTTCGTTGGGATCTCACGCTTACCACTATGATGTCATGCTTACCTCGGGTACGCGTTCCCGACGGTGACCGCGTGGCTTCTTGGCGCACACCTCGTTGGAATGTACACGTTGCTGATGTTGAATGCTCCTAGAGGCTGCAGACTTCAGAGGGATATCCTTTCCGAATGTTCGTGAATCGTAATATGGGATCAGTTATCCTTGGACGAGGAACGCTCGGAATCAAGCAGGCTCAGCAAGCAGCGCAAAACAGTACAAGCGATGCGTGCACTCTCGTGTACCCCATTCGCTGCGCCTTTACGATTGGTCCACTGCTGCAGCACAGTCACCTCGCAGTTTCTGGACAGCAATCGTGTTGTTGGCTCGCATCTTACATCAATGTTGCATCGAAAGAGTACTTCAGTACTTCAGAGCAGTTCGATGAACATACGACTATCTCTCTCTCTTTCTTTTTTTTCTCTCTCTCTCTCTCTCGCCTTCTTTACGAAGAGCTTGTCGCATGCTCAGCGTGAGGCTTTACGCGTGCTGCACCAATATGTCGCGCGTCTTCTCACTCGTACCATCCCATCGCATTTCCCCGTACCCTGAATTTGCTACGTTGTATATTTTCGCTTGTAAGATTTGTTTGCCCATGGCCTACTGGTATATTATCACGCTTTGTCCATGTCGCGGCTCGGCCTAGTTGGTGACACAGCTGTTCCTGGGGTGTTGCTGGCGGTGCAGCCTGGCACAGCTCGGCTCCAGCGCAGGGGATGCAGTAGACGAGTACACTCCCGGATTTCGCTTCGACCGTGTGCCGATGCGGATTCCTCCCGCGAGGACGCCGCTGCAGACTTCAAGCCGGGGGATTTGGCCTCGCCCTCAGCCAGAGCGGGCCCTTCTCGTTCCCCTCTGCACGGCTCTCCCGTTCCCGCGCCGCCCGTCAGAGCCCCGAATCATCAGGGGTATCTCGGGTCAGGGCTAACTCGGGTTCGTTTTTCGGGATTCCGAACCCGAGTTACCCCGGACCCGAGTTACCCCGGATGACTCGGGCGCCCAAGCCCGCTCTCGTCTTGCCCTCTCTGCTCTGCGCCTTGCTCGCGCAGCGCGCTCGGTGTTCGCCCTCGGCGCCAAATTCTGCCGCCCCTCCTCCGACTGCCCGCGCGCGGGGCCTGGTACGCGTCAGCCCCCGGCGATCCCTCTCCCCCCAGCTTCCGCCGCCTCTCCTCTGCACGCACGAAATCGGTACTGAAAGAATGGGTACAATGCCCAACAGCGGATCTTGTTCATTTTGAACAGGGCTCGCTGTCCACGCCGCCGCGGCCTGTGTTCATTCGAGACAGGAGGCCGCCTGCCCAACAGCGGTCGCTGTTGGTTTGGGACAACATTAGCTGTTGGGCATTCTACCCATTCTTTCGGTACCCATTTCTTCTCCTTCTCTCCTCGTCCTGTTTATCCCCCGCGTCCTCCTCGTCGTCGTCGTCCTCCTCCTGTTTCCCGATCCTGCAGCTCCAGGCCCTTCCTCGCTCTCCCTGTCCTCCTCCTCGTCCCGCTCCTCTGGAGCCGTTTTGGCTCAGAGCCTCCTGTGTTCCGTCCCAGCTGTTGCGTCGTTGACCGCACACACACACACACACGCACGCACGCACGCACGCACGCACGCACGCACGCACGCACGCACGCACGCACACACACACACACACACACACACACACACACACACACACACACACACACACACACACACTCACACACACACACAAGCACACACGCACACACACACACACACACACACACGCACGAGTGGTGCATTTCTCGTTGTTTTTCGAGTGCATGGCCGACGGTAGACGCGGTCGGTGAACCACTTCAGCGGCATGCTGCTCTGCCGTCCTCGCCGCCCTTGCGTTCCACTGCATCTTTCGGGTCGTGCCCGACTTCATGAGTGACGGCATTGCTGCGCCTTGTTTGGCTTACAATCTCGTGCGACGCGGGTCGTGCGTGGTTGTCGACGCCAGCACGATTTGTTGTTCACCCTACGCGACGTATAACATACCCTTGAACGCCGTGTTGAAGCTGAGGACTTTGACTTTGTCGTTCCACGTCGACGATTTAACTTCGGCCATGCCACGCACACACACACACACACACACACACCACTTTTTCACACATAGGGATACCGCAAATGGTTTGCAGTCAGTCTTCATGCTGTTGGCGTTAAGCTTGCTGCTGTGACAGCACCCGAACATCCTTGTGGTATTGATCGATTGGAGCCTAATTGCGATGGTGTTCCAGGTTGCGAGCTTCGAGCGCTGTGTGAGTTTGCTGGCTCTCGCGGCGAGAATCGGCCCGATGGGTCTCGCAGCCATTCCCAGACAAAGCCACTGGGTTTCGATAGATCCAGCTGCCTAAGGCAAGTTCTGACACCGTGCCAGGGATAGAATTTTCCAGCATCGCACAGACGGCCGTTACATGTAACATGGGGCCTATATGATTAGTTTTGGGATTGCCTTGGGCCCCTCGCGGTGTGGGATCTTCGGAGGTTGGGCTGCAGCGCCGAGCGACGATAGCTGCTTGTACGGGGCAACCTGCGCAGCCCAAACCACGGAAGCTACGGCGACCCGCCTCCGGGAAAGAATGCACAGCATTTTGCTTCCAGGCTATTGAATATGTTTCGTTGGTAATTCGCGCAGCACCTCAGGTGTAGCAGACGTCCAGATGAGTCACCGGGTTTCGCGCGGGTCCTTGCTCGTACGCCCATGCGCCGTGCTGATCAACCATTGGCACTGCTTGTTGCACGAGTGCGCACATACGTTGCCCTTCTCCATGTTCTATTCTACCTACCCCTGCCCACTCTCGAAACTTGTTCCCGTCTTTCTTAACTACTCGTTATCAAGTATCCTTGTCCTGGCCAGGGTTCTCCCTCGGTGATCCCCATGCCCTGCCCACCCTTGCCCTCCTGCTTCCTGTACGCCCTTGTGTTATCCTGCGGCGTTCGGCCCGTTCCGCCATTCTTGCTACGGTTTGGGGCGAATGGTGCAATGGGAGCGGTCGAAGCCAACAAGGCATGCTCGTGGATAGCCTCCATGGAGGGCTCCCAGGGGCATGGTTTGTGATGTTGCGGTTTCCTGGTGCGGGCACGTTCGGTGCATGTTGGGGAGCTCTGGGATGGCCTCTCGTCAGCCACTCAGTGTCCTCTTGACGCGTGCTCTTGGCCCTCTGGGGGGCCTCTTGCCTATTGGGGATTTTGGGTGCTATTTTTGGATGGGGAGGGATGGTGAATTTTGAACCTTGCTACCACGGCTTGTTTGCAGCCCCCATTTCGGACCCAGCTTGGGGGTTCATATGGGGGACATCTTGGGCCCCTCTTGGCGACTTCGGAAGCCGTCCTGGGTTGATCTTGGGGGCCTCTTTGGCCGTATCGGTTGGACTTGAGGCGGAGGAGGTGTGCATTCACGCACCGTGTAAGACAAATAGGTTGTGTGACGATCTTGACTTGGGCCGTTCCCCAGGATCCCCAGGACGGCCCAAGATGCCCCCAAGACGGCCTCGGTCCACGCGGAAATTCTGGATCCCCATTGACGGTTCTTCGGCCTCGGGGATGTTTTGCGACAAGCTCCGGCAGCACGCGGGAAACAGCGGGAAGCGTCAAGGGCACCGGCAAGTCAAGGACCCGTGCTTCGGGATCTTCCGATTGTCCAGTTCTTTGGTGTATTGAGGGCACCTTCCTACGTGCCAGAGTCGTGCTGGCTGATTTTCGTTTCGTTCAGTGGCAGTGGCTCGGCCTGCCCGTGTGCTGCAAGGCTCTTCGCCCCGCTTCTTGTGCAGCGCCGCAGGCAATCATCTTCACTCCAGACGACACACACTACGAAATAGCGATGGAGTGTATCAACAGGCCTTTGTCGGAAACGCGGGGAGCGCGGGATGGAGGGGAATTGTTATGAGCAGCCTGGCCTGACACCAAGCGCACGCGGGCCTCGGAGGAAGAGGAACGGGCAGGCCTTGGCAACGTTCCTGAAGTGTCCGTGGTCAGTACACGCGCGGGCAATCGAGACAATGCAGGATGGTGGTCACGTTGTTCTTGGAGCTGCGAGTGCGTTTTGACGAGGACGATTGGAACTTGCTTCCGCTGGAAGTTCGTTTTGGCAGTGACGAGTGAATTATCTCAGTGGCGACGACGACGCGGACGATCAGGAACCCTCCTCCTTCAGCACCAGCCAACGGCGGCGGACAGCGACGACGGCGACACGCCGCACCCGCCATCCCCATTGGAACCCTCACCTGCGGCGGCGGACGACGACGACGACGATCGAAAGGGGCGAATGCTGAGCAAATCTTGGCAAGAAAGGAAGGGGGGGCTGGATGGAGGAGGTGGTGGAGGAGGAGGGAGCGTGCAGGGAGCGCTGGGGAGTACCTGGGAGCGCTTGGGAGCGCCAGGGAGCGCCTGGGAGCGCCTGGGAGCGTGCCGGGAGCGCCTGAGAGCGTCTGGGAGCGCCATGCGCCTGGGAGCGCTTGGGAGCGTGCCGAAAGCGCCGGGGAGCGCTTGGGAGCGCCTGGGAACGCTTGGGAGCGCGGAGGACGACGAGGAGGAGGAGGGGGATAAGGAGGAGGTGGAGGAGGAGGAGGAGGAGGAGGAGGAGGGGAGGGGAGGGGGCGGCTGCGTGGGCAGTGTGTAGGATCGGATGCAAAGCCAGGACGTCCACGAGGTCGAACCGCACCCCCCGCCTCCCTGGGTCGGCGGTCGCCGACGAGAGCAGCGTGAATCTCGCACCAGGGGGGTGGGGCTTTCGCGGGCGCAGTGCAAAGTTAGACATTGACGCACGCGGGGACGACGTGTGGTTGCAGTTGCTTCTCCTACTGTTATTGCTATTGGTGCAAGTGTTTCCTTTAGACTCATCAATGGGACAAGCTTCGGCGTGCACCACCTGTTCAAGGAATGGCGCAGCAGCGATCTACCATTGGGACGCTGGTGCGGTAGCGGCGGAGGTGAGAACCGCAGTGGCTCGCCCCAAGAGGACGGCAATCCGTTGCCGCCGATCTCGAAGCGGTGACCGTGCACAGCCCATGCCACGGAGCTGGCTTTGGTGTTGGGTAAGGCTTGCCAGCTGCTGCAGCAGACGCGACAGCTGCTGCCCATGCCGTCCGCCGACTTCAAGTGCAAGGCCCTGCACGCTGGTGCCGCCACGAGCTGCATATTGCCCTGTTTCCGCAGCCCCGGCAGCGGTCGTGCCAGCCCCAGCGGGCACCGAATGGCCGCGGCGGCTGTGCGTGCTGACGACAGTGACGTCACCGTGGAAAGCTCGGAGCGAGCAGTGGCCCCAGAGCTGGAAGTCCACGCGCGGCTCGCAAGTGGTTGCAGTGGCCAGCTCTGGAAGCACGACCTCGCGTGTGGCTGCAGGGCTGGCTGTGCGAGCGCATGTCGCGAGCTCGTCGCAGACTCCATCATGCAGACTGTTGTGGGCCCCGCCGATCATGCAAGGGATCGTGCGGTCTCCAAGTTCGCCGAGTGCGTGATCACAAGCCCCTCCAGCACGCGTGCGGTGCTCCCGCTGCTGCTCGTCCTTCTCCTCCCAACCCTCCGCTCCGGATCCATCTATGCCGCCGACTATCTGAGCGCCTGCCCGAAGAGGGCGACGGTGGAGTGGCGAACGATGAAAGGAAGAGATCTCGGGGGCCAGGAATCAAACTTGTTGACCATCGCCGCATGCGCTGCTGCGTTATGCCCCCCTGCCACCCCCCGAACATTTCCTAACCGTAATCCTGCATTGTTGCGTTTATTTCCTTCTTGGACATGGTGGGTGCGTTCATCAAGGAAATGTGCCCATGAGGCTCCAAGTCATGGGCGAAGCCCCACCTGATGAGGGTGGCGGTGGTGTCCATGGCCAGGCATGGGTTGGTGTTCCGCGGGCTTCCAGGATCCCTCATCCAATGGACTGGATTCCCCACCCCACCGCGGAATACCGTCCAATCTCAGCACCCACCAAACCACCCCAACCCAACCTGAAGGCTTCAATTTGCCCTCCATTTCCAGTGGGGGGGGGTCCGGGAACACCGAAAAACACATATGGAGCCCATACCCCCCCCAACCCGAAATTCGGGTCTTCGGGTTGGGTTGGGGTGGTCTGATCAGAGCGTGAATTACCTACCCCGCTTTCGCTTCCAGGCAAAACCAAGTCATACCACGCGCCTCCTCGTCAAGCGGCCTGACCAGTACAGGCCGTGGTTTGGCATCGCTTGGTATCTCTTGGAAGCTATGGTAGGTAGTCACACCCTGCAGTGCTTGGCTCGTCGACGTCTCGCTCGGCTCCGAGGGGCACCTCGGTGCAACGGTGGGGTGCTGGCGGCAGGCCTGCCCGGGCCCGGCCCACGCAGAGCTCCGACCGGCGGTGTGCCTCGCTCGCAGGGTCGTCGGGACGGGTTGTCGCTGGCGAGACGTGTCAAGCAGTGGCGAGGCGTCCCGGCTTGCCCATGGCCCTACCAAGGAACGTTCCAGGAACCTTTCTGTGGTTCCCACGACATGTTCTGAGAACACTTCTGGAGGCGTCTGCCCTGTTGTAACTCGTCGGGTTTATGATGTTCTAAGCACGTTCCTTTTGTTCTGCGAACATCCTTGGGTTCTCGGAACCTCTCGTGGCAGGACTATCGGGATGCTGGGACGGTCGGTCCCTGCTCAAGGAGGGCGGCGCGGGGTTCCCTGGAGGACTTCCAGGGTCCGACGCCGTCCGTTTCCGCAGGATCACAAGGCGACGACCGACAACATCTATCCGATACTACGCCGCAGCCGCGGTTTTCACGAGCGAAGCCGCGGCGCCCGGCACGCGCCCCGGGCGCCGTTGGCGCGGAGCCCCCCCCCCCCCCGCGGCTGCGCGCTGTCCCCCGAGGGGGCGGGCGAGGGCCAGGCATCGAACGTCCAGGGACAGCGCCTGGGCCGCATCGTTTTTCCGCACGGGGTGACGGGGACGCGGGAAGCGTGAAATGCATGGAAGGTGGAGGGGAACAACAAGTGACACAAACATAAAAAGTCTCGGAGGTCCGCGTGGATTTCTCGGATCGGCGCTGGACCCTCCTCCCTGGCGCGCGGAGCGCGCGCCAGGGGGCGGCGCCGGAGGCGCCGCCGGGGGGCCCCGGCGCCGATCCGGGAAATCCGCGTGGACCTCCGAGTTTTTGTGTTTATGTCACTTTTTGTTCCCCTAGATCTGGCCGCGAAGGACCCCAAACACGTTGAAAAGCCCGAGTAGCATCTTGGATCCGACCGCGAAGGACATCGAGAGGGACAGACGACAGCAGCAGAAAGAACTGGACGACCAGAAAGGTACCGACGACAGACAAGAAGGCCGACGACACATTGGAAAGACACAGAGTCAACTGCCGACGACAACAGCAACAAAAAAGAGGCGCGGACAACTGAGTCTGCTGGCGGCGCAGAGCCTCGACACAATCGGAAGTGGCGACAAAATGCTCGTGGGAGGCGTGCGACAGAAGTTGCGAAAGTGCTGCTCGCATGGCAACTGCATGTCGGGGTTGGATAGACCTCCTACCCTGACACGTCGATTAAGGAATTGGCCGTTTTCGGTTCGCGAGAGGGCGTCGCCGCCGTCGTTCTTGCGGGTCCAGGCCCGTCGGCTTCGGCTCCAGGCCGTTTTCACCAAGGGGAGGTTTACTAAAGGCATGTTTGTCCACCGCCGAGCGTGGGGGATGCCGCCCACGGGGTGAATTTGCCACGCGGCTTGCTCGGGCGTTTCGCCGTCGCGCGTTTGGCGCGCCTGGCAGGCTTGTGCCCGCGCTGGGATTCCGCGCGCAAGCGCGCGCTGATGCCTTCGCGCGCGCATGGCGCGCGGCTGCGCGGCTGGACGGGCGCGCGCTGGAGATGTGCCGAGGCCATCGTGCGCTCCTTCCCTGCGGGATAAGCGCGAGGCACGCGTCTGCGCGTGGGGGGTGACGCGCGCGCAACAAAGCAGCGACTCGCCAAGAACAGCGCGTACGTCCGCGTTGCACACGGCGCGGGGCCAGCAACGCGAGAGTCGTAATTAGGGGCGGGCGTCATTGGGGGCGGGCGGGCGCCAATCGCCCAACGCGGGTCGGCACGTTTCAGTTGAGAATTTGGAAAGGAACTCCCGTGTGATTTTGTCGCATGGTGTGTCGATGGATCTTGTCCTATTAGGTAGCGGTGATGTGACATGTTTTCTGTGAGGCAGGAGGAGGAGGTGAAGGAGGAGGAGGAGGAGGAGGAGGATGCGGAGGAGGAGGAGGAGGAGGAGGAGGGAGGAGGAGGAGGAGGAGGAGGAGGAGGAGGAGCGGAGAAGGAGGTGGAAGAGGAGAAGGGGGAGGAGAAGGGGGGGAGGAGGAGGATGAGGAGGAGGGAGAGGAGGAGGAGGAGGAAGAGGAGGAGGAGGAGGTGGAAGAGGAGAAGGGGGGGGGAGGAGGAGGAGGAGGGGGAGGGAAGGGGAGGAGGAGGGGTATGTGGAGAAGGGGAGGAGGAAGACCAGAGCAAGCCCAGGCCGCACCGACGGTGCTGCAGGCCGCCCTCTCCCGTCCGACATCCGCCCCGCCGTGCGCGCCCGCGGGCCTCCCTCCCTCCACCGCAGGAGCCCCTCCCCGGGGGAGAGACGGCCGCCTCCGTGGGCCTGCCCGCCCCTGCGGGCGGGGGCCCCGCCTCGACGCGGCGCCGCCCCGCATGCTGCCGGCGCAGGGTGCGGAGAGAAGCACCCCGCGTGCCCTCAGAAGCGCCCCGGCTTGCCGCCAGGGTACCCCGAGAGACGCCCCGCCTGCCGCCATGGGGGTGCCCATGGGGTGCCCATGGCGTCGCCGGTTTTGCGGCGGGCGGAGCGGCGCTCCCACGCCAGAGATGGTCCATGGGCGTGCCCCAGGGTGCCAGGGTTGGGTTGCTCGTGGGAGGTCTCTCTCGCGGTCGGGGCCCCTGCTGTAGGGAGCAGGTGCTCACCGGTCGTTGGAAGTAGGTACTTTGGAATTCCCAGGTGCCAATCTCAGGCCAGCCACAACTGGGGGAGCTGTGGTCCTTACCGCCCTGGGGGACCCATCGATTTCGACACCCCTCTCGAGAGATCGTCGATGCGATGGGTTCCCCCAGGGGGGTAAGGACCACAGCTCCCCCATTTATGGCTGGTCGGAATCTACTTGAGGCGCCTTCCTACTTCATTGACCGAGTGGCTTCACCTTTTTTCCGTTCTCTTTAGGGGGCGGGCGCAAGCCCAATATATGTTCACGTTTGTTTCTTACGTCATGTTTCTCTACCTACTTCTTCCTACCGATGGGTAAGTAGTCACGCTTCGCGTCGCCTCGACAGCCCCTCTTCTGAAACCCTGCCAGTGAGAGCTGACGGGGAAATTGACGAAGAGGCACATCTAGTGAAACAAGGCCTGCCGCCATGGTGAACAGAGAGACCTCTGGGAGCAAGGGGATGGTCTTCGATGGCCTTTTTGGGCCATCCCTGGGACCCGCGCGGGGGCGAGGGGAGGAAAAGGAGGAGGAGGAGGACGAGAAGGAGGAGGCGGAGGAGGAGGAAGAGGAGGAGGAGAACTACGACGGCGACCACCACGACGTCGACGAAGGGCGAAGAAGACAAGGAAAAGGAAGAGGGAGACGATGAAAAGGCGAGGACAAGGCGTGTGAGAAGGAGGAGGAGGAGGAGGAGGAGGAGGAGGGGGAGGAGGAGGAGGAGAAGAAGGAGGAGGAGGAGGACGACAACGGGTACGAGGACAGAACCCCTAAAATTGTTTCTTGGAACTCTTTGAGGGGCCTCGGGGTACTCTTGGGGCTCTTTTGGGGGCTCTTGGGTCCCTCGTGGGGCCCTCCCTGTTCGGGCTGTTCTGGGACTTTCCTGAGAGCCCTAGGCGGCCTCCTAGGACCACCTTGCAGAACATCGAACAAAAGATGGGTCCCATGTATAGACCCCCCCTTTGGGGCCCTCAAAATCGCCTCTTGGGACCCTCTTGGGCGCGCTCATGGGCGCTATTGCGGACGTCTGGGGGGCCTCTTGGGGGGCCCCCTTTGGGACTCGCATGGGCCATATTGGGGAAATCTTGAGGCCTGGAAAGCGCTTCGCAAGTGAAACGGCGAGAATCCACACATCATCTCTTTCCCCTAGGAGTTTGACGGATGTTGGCCTTTTGGGGAGGGGGGGTCCCGGAGGGGCTCGGAGAGCACTTGAAACCGTCTTGGAGCGGTGTTTGGGGCGTTTGGGGCCTCTTGGAGCATGTTGGAAGCAACCTTGATTCATTTCCGGTTAGGCTGAGCCATCTTGGAGGCCATTTCGGAGCATCATATTGGATAATCTTGGGTGTTCTAACTAACCCCTTGCGGCAACCCAAACAATCTCGGAGACGGGAGTTGGACGGTACCCCACCCCGAGTATAGTCAGGTCACCTACGCCCAGCGGGCTGATGGGATATATCGGATGATCGAGATCAGCGATGGGTGCTGCGAGAGCTCCGTTTTGAGAAGGGATTGCCCCCCCCCCTACCAGCGTATCCGTTAGTTGCTACAGCTGCGGGCAAGCGAGCGCGAGCTACATGTTGTGAAGGGGCCGTTCTCCATCCGCGCAGCTGCCACATTGTTGAAAATGATACTTGTTGGATCCCATGAGCTTTCAAGCGAGAGCCACACTTTGAATTGAAACCGTGCTCCGCCGTTAGAACTGCTGCGAGCTCATCCGTCGAGCTTGAGCGGCGCTATGGCCAGGCCCCTTCCTGGAAACCAACCGGCATCCATCCCTGTGGCGACAGCATCGAGCTGCCTGCGGCAAATCCCGCCACCGTGCCAGAGCCACCACCTTCGGGTGGCGACGGTTCGGGGGGGGGGGGGAGAAGGCCGTGACATGTGCCACGCTGGGTCCCGAGGCTGGGCAGAGCCGAGGCGTGGGGTACCCTCTTCCTCATCGTCTCGGGGATACTCTTCCTGTCTTCGTCGTCGTCCTCCCTCGGAGACTAGAACATCTACATTGCCAGTGGCGGGTCGTTTGCTCAATCTCAGCACTCTTTAAGGGTCGGGGATGACGTCGGGGCGGTGTGGTGTATATATTTTTATTCGGTCTCCCAGGTGTCAGCGAATTATATATACAAACATTTTATATATATATATATATATATATATATATATACATATTCACACGCCAGGATCCCTCATACACCAGGATCCGCTTCTTCCGTGTGCAGGATTCAGTGCAGGGCCGCAGGACGCGTCGGTATAAAGAGTTATGTTCCCGATTTCCGTCCTCTCTCGGCCTCGTGTGGGGGGGCAGTCTTGCCGGTCCCTTGGGCCGCTTTGGGCCTACTTGGGGCCCTCGTTGACGGTCTTGTCTCGGGGTCCTGCGGGCCGTCCCGGGGGGGGGGTCTCTTGCGGCCGTCTTCGGACCGTCCTGGGCCGACGAGGGGCCGTAGGTGTGGCACGTCGTGGTGCCTTAGCTTGGGGTCCTCTTGGTGCCCTCGTGGGCCGTCTCGGAGGCTTCCTGGGTCGTCTTGAAGCCAGCCTGGGCCGCCCTCTTGGGCTGTCTTGGGGGCTTCCTGGGCCGTCTTGAAGCCAGCCTTGGCCGCCTGTGGGTCCATCTGGGGCCGTCTTGGAGGCATCTTGGGCCACCTCGGCGGCTGTCTTAAAGGCTCGGGATCGCGGTTCCATCGCTCCCTTTCCTGAGCAATTTGTCCGTAAGGGCCCCATGCCATGCGTCTCACGCCCGGTGAGAGCCAGGCCCCCCGTAATCGGTAGCCCCTCGTGGCCCCCCTATCGAGGCCCCCCTGTGTGATCCCCGAATCCTGAATTCTGTAGAGCTTTCGGGGGACTTCTGGCGTGAGGCTGCCATCTGTTGCCGGGGGTCGTGTCCTCGGGAGCGCGGGCCCACGGTTCTGTTCCGAGGGATCGTGAGCTCGGGAGCGCGGAACAATGTTTTTGTTTTCCCGAGAGAGAGAGAGAGAGAGAGAGAGAGAGATCTCAGGAGGGAAAAAGACACACAGACACAAGTAATCGTCGATGTCAAAAGAAAAGATGCGAAACTATAGGAAGTGTGGGGGAGACAGTAACCCCGAAAATATGTGATAAGATGTGGGGAATCCTGGGATGCGTGTGTGTATTGAATTGTGCGTCCCTGGGCCCCTTCAAGATCGTGGCCTCGGGATGACATGGGGAGCGCGGACCAGAACGGCATGGATCGTGACCCTGGGGTGACATCGGGAGCGCGGACACTTTTTCTTTTTGCGCGAGGGATCGTTGCTGTGGGATGGGGGTGGGGCGGGGTGCAGGCGGCAGTGCGCGACGAGGGGGGAGGGCCCCCAGGAAGATTGCAGACGCCCTGCCAGGCAGCGCTTGGCATTCTACCACGCCTCAAGGGGTCAAGGGGGCACGATCGCGGATGTGAAGGCGAATGTGCGCGGCGCCAAGGCGGGAGACTTGTTCTGAAAAGGACCCCCCCCCCCTCTCATTGCTGCAATTGCTGCAAGCTCGTAAGCGAGCGTGCGCGGCGCCGAGGCGCGAGCCCCCGTCTTGAGAAAGGCCCACCCTTCGCCCATGGCAGCCGTCGGACGCGCAGAAGACGCACCCGATCGGCGCCGTTGGCAGGAGCTGCGTGTGGAGCTCCCCCCCTCCACCCGCGCAGCCGCTGCAAAGCTATGGAGACAAGTTGCTCGTGGCGGTGCGGCGGGGAGCCCTCTCTCGGAGACCGCCGCCCCGTCCAGCCGCCGCTTCACAGTTGCAGCACGCACACGTTCAAAGGCCTCGGGGTCCTCCTTGGTGGGAGCGTCTGGCGCGGGGCGCCAGGCCCGTCCTGCCAACACGTCTGGGGGTGCCACAGGGAGGAGTTCTCTGAGGCCGGGGGGGAGGGGGCGCGATGGCTCCCGCGGGCATTGGCTCGGCGAGAAGCGGCGCCAGGGGGATGCACGTGATGATCACGAAGCCCCCAGTCAAGACGCTCAAGGACAGCTCGGCGGCCCCCTTGGGAACCTCGGGCCACGAACACTTCGAGACGCCATTTTTTTGTTTCCACGCTCTGGCCTGGCTTGGAATTTTGCAGGCCTGGCCTGGGGCCCAGGACCATCAAAAACGACCCTGGATGACAGATAGGCCCCACGGATGGGCCGAGAGGTTCAGAGGCCCACATTGTGTTGGTATGGTCCAAGGTCCCCTGCTACCACCCTCCTCCCGCGCCTCCTCCCACTCCCCCGCTCCCACCCTCTCGCTGTGGAGGCCTCTGGAGACCTCCAGAGGCCTCCCTTGACCTCTGGACTCGTCCGGCGACCCCCACAGACTTCAGGGACCTCGCAGGACCTCAACCTCCTCCCCGTCCTCTCGGGTCGGGCGAAAGGGGGGGATTGGGAAAGGGGGGGTTACGAAATTTGCTGCATGCAGCTGGTTTCGGCCTCACCGAAGGGCCAATTCCTCGATACATGGCCGCTCCTGGCGCCGGGAGGCGCCGGGAAAATCAGCTACATGAGCTGATTCTCAACCCCCCCTTTGCTATCCCCCCCTTCCGCCCGACCCGATCCTCGCCCTCCCTCGCTGCGCATAGTGCCGCAGGCAGCAGCACGCCCTCCTGCGGGCGCCGCGCTCCTGGAAGCCTGGCGCACCAGCGGCACGTGCGCGGCCGCAGCCACGAGTTCCTGTTTCCGGGCGCGGGCGGCCGCAAGTACAGCGCCGTCTTTAATGCATGCTCCGCGTGCGGATCATGTACTAAAACATGCAGGGATCTAGTCCCAAAAACAACGACGAGTTCATGCATACATTTACTCCTACATTAATCATGCATTGAAAAACATATATACTAAGAAATCCTGTGTATTAGCAACTACCCTGTAGCCCAGAGGACATGTCGGGCTCTGGCCGTCTGCGCCACAGACAGCGCGGGCCTGGCGCTCGTGCTTTGCAGAGGGCCGAGGGCATGCAGCGACCTGCTCGAGGGCGGCCAGGAGGTGGGTGAGAACAACTGGGGGGGGATATCCTCAGGGGAACAAGAAGTGACATAAACGTAAAAACTCTGAGCTCCGCGCAGATTTCTCGCATCGGCGTTGGGGCCCCCTGGCGGCGCCTCCGGCGCCGCCCCTGGCGCGCTCCGCGCGCCAGGGAGGGGGGCCCAGCGCCGATCCGAGACATCCGCGCGGACCTTCGAGTTTTTATGTTTATGTCACTTTGTGCTCCCCGAATCCTGGCGGGGGCCACGGTATCTCCCCAGATGTCATGGCCCCTCCTCTTGTTTCAACAGGTCCCAGGCCCTCCCGGGGCCGCGCGCATGCTGCTGGCAATGATGTGCGCACCCCCCGCTTGGACGCCCCCTCGTGGCCGCCCCCGACCGATGGGAGTCTTGCATCTCCTCGACGTTTCGCTTTTACAGTACACTCGCGTGCGCTAGCGTCTGCCAATCGTTGGCAAAGCGCTGACTGAGCGTCGATTACCGTCGATGCAGTGTCGATCGGCGTCAACTCGCGTGAGTTAGTGTCGACCAGCGTCGGCTAGCGTCGGTTCGCAAGAATCAGCAGCTTGACATGGGACGCCCCATGAGTTGCCACAGAGAGCTTGATTGTCTCAGTGCTGTGGCGCACAGGCCTTCTCACGTAAGTAGGCCACGGCGCGGCAGCTTGTGTGCGCTCCGCCAGAACGCCGCCTCGTCTCGTCGTCGGGCCAGGAGCAGCGGGGTGCATCACTCCGTATCTTGCCGCCCGCAACGATACTATTGGTGTGGCATTCGTTTGGCACTCGTGCCTCGACACGTTTTTGTCATCCTCCTCCTCTTCCTGTCCTGTAGCCGCTTGGGCTCAGGGCTGCTGCTCAGGCACCCGCCCTCTCCGCCCCGGGGTCCTCATACCCTCGGGAGTGAGGGGGCCTCGCGTGGCCCCGTCTCCCACCCCCGCGCGGCCCCGCTCCGCCTTGATGGCCGCTGGTTTCCGAGGATGCGCTGCCATTTGGCTTACTTTTTAGTCAGCGGCCGCGGGCGAGCGCGCCGGCGGCGAGTCAGGTCAAAGCGGGCGACGCAGAGACTAATTAGGCAGAGGGAACGCGGGAAAAATAGATCCGAGCGACGCGCGAGGCGACGGCAAAGCGCCGGCCGAGGCCTCAGGAGGGTGGCTGAGGGGACAGAACCGTTTGGCTCACGGAAAGGCTGCGGCCTGAGCTTGCGGTGCAGCAGGTGTGCACGACTTGGGACGAAATGCCCCCCCCCCCCCCCAACCCCCCAGGCAGTCTTGAGAGGGCCTGCCGTGCCCTGTGCAGCCTCGCGTCCTTGCGGCCCCGGCGCGCTGCTGGCCACGAGGAGCTCTCGCGGGGGTGTCTGCAAGGCGGTTACTCGCGCCAGCAGATCCCACTTGGTGAGAATCATTGAGAGCCCCAACCGCGCTCACCCAGTTGATAATTAGGCTTAAGTCGGGCCTGTCTCTCTACAGGGGGAATATTCAAAAATAGTCAAAAATAGTCTGGGGACAATTTTTGGAGTATGTTTCGACCATCCTGGCGTATTGCTTGACTATTTTTGATTTGTCGTCCAAAATCCCCCTGTAGGGGGACAAGCCCGACCTAATGATAGGCTCTCCACGCATCGCGCTGGTTTGTTCCGCGGCGAAAATCTGGCGATTGGCAATCTATCGCTGGCATGTGTATTTCCTCGTCCCTCCCCTTCCTCTTTGTTCTCTTCCATCTGCCCCCGTCCTCCTGTTCTTTGGCCTGCGCATCGTCATTCGCCTCTTTGCTATCCCAGCCGCGAGAGTGCGTGCATAAATGGGGAACCTTGGGTGCGGTCCAGCGCGACGTGGCGAAGCGTTCAAGGGCACAGCAGATCCCGAATCGCTTTCTCTGTCTTGACGGGTCCTGTTCTTAGTTGTCTCGATACGCCCGTATTGAAACGCAACGCGTCCCGTGTCAAGACGTCCGTGTCAATGCGTTGCGTGTTGACTCCGCGTATTGGCCCACGTTTTGGCGAACGTATCGCGTCGGACCCGCGTAGTCAGCCTACGTGTTGAGCTCCGTATCAGTACGCCACGTGTTGCGTGTTCGCGTATCGGGGCAGCTAAGGTCCTGTTGACACTGGCCGCGTGCTCAGGAACGGGTGGGGTGTCTTCGGATGTGGTGGAGCGCCCTCTGGCTCCCGGCGCTCTGGAGGCCGACAACGGGTGCCAGTTAGCATCACGTCGGGCCTGTCCCTCTACAGGAGGGAGCTTCAAGAATAGTCAAAAAATAGTCAGGGAATTTTGTTTTGCATATTTGTTGACCATGTTGGAGTTTTTGTTTGGCGTATCTGTATTTTTCGTCATAAATCCCCCTGTAGAGGGACACGCCCGCCTCAAAGCTAGCAGAACCTGGGCGGGGCGCGATGTTCGGACGGCGGTCGGTCGTGCGAGGAGAACTGCTTGCAGCTCACGGCAGGTTCGCGTCGCGTCGACCGGCGCTGACCCCGCCGCCAGCATTCAATGTTGGACGCCGCCAGCAACCCGGAAGCGGTCGATGTGGAATCAAGGGAGGAAGAACGGCCCGGACGGGATCATTGGCGTTCACTCAAACGGCCCTGGGCGTCTACTAACCAGCCCTGCCTCGTTCGATTCTTGCTCTGTGCGCGTTTACCACACGACTTCGCGCGTCGGGGTGATTATGATGGGGGTGACTTTTGGTTGGACCTCCGTCGAGAGATCTGGCATTTTCGGACGCGTCCGATCGTTCAAGACTGAAGGATCCCCGCGGGTGCAGAAGCCAACGCCGACGTTGGCACGGCGAGGGCCTGCCGCACGGTGCAGCCGCCGGGCGCCCCCGCGGGCCCCGGGGATGCCGCCGGCACGGCGGTGGGCATCCGGGCCGTCGGCCGCGGTCGGACGCGTTTCCCGCCTGTGCACTCAGCAGGCAACAAGCACATCGGTCACGAAACGTCTGAAATTATTTGACGCGGCGGTATCAGAAACTGTTCCCTGGTGCTCGGGATCCTGGAAGCTGACCGCTGCTCAAAGAAAGGAAGCTCCGAAGTGTTCAAATACCAATGTTTCGACGAATGGCGGGGCCAGGGCGACGGCCAGATTAAACTTACATGCCTTGGATATGGGGGGCGACGCGCGCAGCAGAACGCAAAGCACGAAGAGCAGGCGTAGCGTGTTGGACGGCATCGCTCTCGAGGAGCAAGTGGCGCTGGGCTGATAAAGAGCTACATGTGTCGCCAGAGCGAGAAAACATATCCCGGCGAAGGACCCAACCATATGCAGTTGTGGGTATCGCAACTGTGAATATCTTCCTCGGTGAAGCTCCCTATGGGGCCACGAAGCGTTGCACTAGGTGGGGGGAACGCATGCGGGCGGTAGCACTGGTGCCGTCGACTGAGTTCCCTATGGGGCCAAGAAGCGCTGTGCTGGGTGGATCAAAATGCCACTTGGGCGTGTGGGATGCATGCGGGAGGTCTCACTAGGGGCTCCGGTGGAGCTCCCTATTGGGCCACTAAGCGCTGCATTGGATGGGGAGGAACGCGTGCGGGCGGTAGCACTGAGGCCGCCGGTGGAGCTCCCTATGGGGCCACGAAACTTTGTACTCGGTGGGTGAACATGCCAAAGTGGGTGTGCGGGACGCACGCGGGCGGTTCGCAGTGAGTCGTCCATTCCATCGCTCGCGCAAACATCCCACCCACCCGTCCGCAACTTGGTTTGCGAAACCCATTCGGCGGCGATTGCGATGAGTGCTTGGTGTTGGCTGGTGCATCGCTGCGGCCGCGCTAGCCAGCGCATGCTCGCGCGCGCAGCGGCCAGCTAGTTTGGCGCGTCCGACGCGAGCGCGGTGGCGCTGACTGCCCGGCACATCCCAGCGCGGATTTCAGTTCGAGTCGGCGGCTTGGGCGGGCGCAGTATCATGGCCACGTCGACAGCGGTAGACACGAAGATTATAGAAGCGATGTTGGTGACGATGTTGACAGCGACGACGGGGCAGCCAGTGACGGCGCCGATGTTGATCACGCCGGCGACGATGACGGCGTCGTTGCGTCGGTGATCAAGGTTTTGGAAGGAGTTCGAAATGCGCGCGCGGCAAACGCGCGAGAGCGGCCCGCGCGGTTTTATTTAACACGGATCGTGTCTCCCCCCAGGCGCGCGCAAGGGCGTTCGAACGATTTCGACATGCGCGCGCGGAACCCGTTTGGTAACAGTTTCTGAACAGGTTGGAACAAACGAAAGTTTCTTGAAGAATTCGCAAGGGCGCGGGCGCAAGCTTTTCTTTGAACATCCATGTTGCGAAACCCTGTGTTGTTGTATGCCTCTTCGGGGGACACCCGATTTCGACTCCCCCCCGAATCCAAGGGTTTTTTTTTAAGGATTTCGGCATGCGCGCGCGACGGCGCGCCCGTGCGCTCATCGTCGCTTTTTGTTCCAATGGTATGTTTTTAAGATATTGTATTGGCTTCCGGCCAGTGCCGCCGATCCGGGGCGTTCCGGATGATGTCGATGATGCTGGTGATGTGACGATGGTGATGGTGATGGTGATGAAGATGGTGATGATCCTGGCCCCCCCCACCCCCCTTCCTCTCTCCTGTCCCCCCCCCTTTCTCCTGTCCACTCCCCCTTCTCTCTCCTTTCCCCTCACCCTCCCCTTTTCTCCTGTCCCCCCCCTTCCCTCTCTCCTGTCCACTCCCCCCCTTTTTCCCTTCCCCCTCTCTCCTGTCGCCGTAGCCATTCTGGCTCAAGCCATTTTGGCTCAAGTTGCCATCTCTCGAGGTGGCGCAGGGCCAACGCACGCTCCAGGTCTGGCCCAGCCCGCGTCCCTGGGGTCAGCCTGTGAGTCTTTGTTCGTGCACCGGACGGTGCCCTCACGTACTCATCATTCTCGCTCAAAAGCAGTTGGCCAGCACGGCACGTCCTCAACCATGGCGAAGGCCGCAGGGCCAGCTGCTTGGGTTCAGTGTAAGAAGTGTGGCCCGCGCTCTTGGACTCCTGTGGCTAGCGGCAAGCTGTGGTGTCACATATGCGGGCTTTACTACAGCAAGGGTGATCAGCCGCAGCGTGGAGCCAGTCGCCGCAAGGGCGTTGGCAAGAACGCAGGCGGCGGCAAGGGTGCGGGCAGCGCAGGTGGTGCTGCAGGGCTCTCCAAGCAGCAGCTCGACGCCATCGCCAAGCGCGTCTCCACCCTGGCAGCGGCTGCTGGCGCCACTCCGCCGCCAGCAGCTGGCAGCCCTCCCGCAGGCGCCGCGCCTGGCCGCGGGAAGGGCTCGCGCGGCACGGGCAAGGGCAAGGACGCTGCCGTGCCCGCGTCCGAGGTGGCCGACACCAGCGACAGGGACAAGAAGATCGAGCAACTCGAGCTTCTCGTCAGCACCTACCAGCAGCTCAGCTGGCGTCCAGCTGGCGTCCAGCTGGCGTCTCGTCGGGCATGACGCTGGCGTCCAGCTGAGCTGGACGCCAGCGTCATGCCCGACGTGGCCGCCAAGCTGCAGCAGGCCAGAGCCGACCTGGTGGATGCGCGCGCTGCGCAGGCTGCTAGCCTGCCGCCAGCGCAGCGCATGGCGCGCTGCCACACACGTGTGCAGCGAGCCGCCGAGAAGGTCGAGAAGATCAAGAACCAGATCTCAGAGCTGGAGAAGACCCAGCAGGAGCTGCAGCAGCAGCTCGACGCCAACATCCAGTCCATGGACGAGCAGAAGAAACGTCTCGAGCAGGCCATGGACGACCAGCAGCGCGAGGAGCAGGACGCAAAGTCTGTCTGGGCTGACACGGCACCAGACGAGGTTCCTGAATCGCTCGCAGAGTTCACCAAGACGTCCAAGGCCAAGATCGAGGAGGCCAAGAAGAAGTTCGCAGACAATGCAGACATCCTCCAATTCATCAATGACATGGCCAGCATGGTGGGGACATTGCCCGAGAAGGCGGAGCCACCGCCATCACCAGCGCCATCGACCACGGACACACCGATATTCGATTCCGAGTTCTTCAAAACTGAGATGGAGTCCCTTGCCAAGCACGTGCCGAAGAAGGAGCTCGAAGCCATCCAGAAGGCCAGAGCTGCATACCAGGACCAGCAGGCCGCGGCCGCGCGGCAGCTGGGTGCGCCATCGAGCAAGGGGACTGGCAGCCGTCGGGGCCACCGCCCGTACGGGTAACGGCAGCGCGCCGACAGCGGCGACAGCTTCGACGGAGAGTCATGAATGCCAGTCATTTAAGCCAAAGGTCTCACCAGCGTGTGCCAGCGCTGGGAAGGCCAACTTTTCTTCCCCTCCCTCCTCTCCTCAGTGCACCCGTTTTGAGACTTTCAATGGGTCCTCTTGGGGCTCCATCAAGAAGCGCCTCTTCGAGCTTGCGTGGGGACCCACCAAAGTTTTGTTTGCTCAGGAGGTGCACCTAGTCTCTGATTTAAGCATTGCTGAGGCCTCAGACTGGGCCTCTAGGCACGGCTGGAAGAGTTTTTGGGCCCCGTCGGTTGCCACTGCCGCCTTTTCCCCCTCGACCAATGGTTTAGGGGATATAGGCTCGTCAGCTGGGGTCGCCATCTTCGTGGCCGAAGATCTTGGGTGCTACGCTCTCGAGGAACCCGTTGGGCCCCCTGGAGGTATTTTGGTGCCACAACGCGTCTTGGGAGTCGTTGTGGAGTTCCCCCAGACCTCGGGCATCCTCTGTCTATCTCTGCATGGGCACGTGAGTCAGGGCCTCTCGCCCGACAATCTCGCCATCCTCGAGGCCGTAGCCGACTTGGTTAAGGTTTCAGGGCTGCAGTACATCATAGCAGGAGACTTCAATGTCACTCAAGACCAGCTTGAGCATTCGGAGTTCTGCAACTATATCAAGGGTCAGCTCTTCGCGCCAGTATGCACGATGGGCACCTGCACAGCCAGCAGTTCCGTTATAGACATGTTCATTGTCGAGCAGCAGCTCGCCAACGCAGTGCGGGGCATCGACGTCGATTTCGACTGGGATGCTAGGCCGCACTTCCCCGTTATGCTGGATCTGCCACCAGATTTTGGAGAGGTCAAGGTCCTTCAATTCCCATCCATACCCCCCCTCCCCTCCTCATTCGACCAGGATGAGGAGGGTGAGGACATAGTGCATCACAGCACCGTCTCTTGGGATAAAGTTCTAGATCATATCAATAAGCTCATCTCCGCTTTAGGTAACCGTCACAAGGTTGTGTTGCGTCTCATCTTCGCCTCGGCCTACGCGCACTGGGCCAACGCCGCCGAGCTCGAGCTCGCGCAGCGGACCAACACAAGGATTCGTGAGCGCAAGTCGACTGGCCTGAGAGCAAGAGCCCCACAGCCAACACTCAAATCCATAACAAAGAAGGATAGAGCTCACAAGCAGTACGGCCTCCTCCCTACGGCGCCGAGCTGGATCGCCACGCGCATGCACCGCCTCGCCTGCTTTTTGGAAGTGGAGGAGGAAAGGTATGCTGGGAAGGTTATAGGCAGAGCATCTAGGCCAGCCGTTTTCGAGCTTATTTCCCGAGTTTTGCGTGCCAGGCCCCAGCGCGTGATGCAGAACGAGTGCACACGCGTGCTCCTGAGAGATATCCAGCAGTATATCACGGCCTTGCACGCAGACTTCGAGGCCGAAGCTTTTTGTTGCAGCAAGATTGCCGCCACTGTCGCGCAGCTGCTCTCGTTCAAGGCCAGAGCTGACGCATGCGCAAAGAAGGTCATTTCAGATGTGCGGTCAGCTAATGCCAGCTCCTGGAAGGATTGGGTCGACAAGGCCCTTGACAAAGGGGCCAAGGCTGCTCACAAGTTCATTAAGGAGCGCACCAAATGGGAGCCCGACACGGTGGTCATTGAGGGTAAGCTCACTGCCTCTATTCAGAGTACCCTGGACACCTACCAGGCCAAGTTCGGGAAATTCTGGGAGCCCTCGGCGGAGCCCCTCCACAGGGACAACGTCCTCCACGAGCCCATCGGGATCCCCTCAGTGGAAGCTCTCAGGGACCTCTCCAAGAGTTACCCCAAGTCCTCCGCCGTCTCTCTCGACGGGTTCCACATGAGGCATCTCAGTATGTTAACGGACGAGGCCCTAGAGGCCTTCGCCAAACTCATCTACGTCTCTGAGGTGCTGGGGGAGCTTCCTGGGCAGCTCCAGTGGGTCCTCGTGGCCCTCCTCCGCAAAGTCACAGGCGGCTACAGGCCCATCGGCATCTTTCCCATGATGTACAGAATCACAGGCAAGCTGCGCCTCCACTTCGCGCAGGACTGGATTGCCAAGCACGATCACTCTTGGTTTGCCTGCGGTGCCGGCAGATCACCAGTCGACGTGGTATGGCGGCAGAGTCTCAGAGCGGAAGGGGCCGGCTCAGGAGGCGGGGCTTCCGCGGGCGTCCTCTGGGATATGGAGGCTTTCTTCGAGCGCTTCAAGAGAAGCAAGTTGCGGGCCCGAGCGCTTGCTTTAGGTTTTCCTGAGACTCTGCTAGCATATCATCTCGCAGGGTACGGCTCTTGGAGGCACATAGCGTGGAAGCGCTGTGTGGCCCAGCCTATTGCGGCTGCCAACGGCATAGTGGCAGGCTGTTCTTTCTGCATACTTTATGTCAGGATTTATTGTTTCGACGCCTTCCTGCGAATCACGTCGCTGCACTCGGCCGTCTATTTCGATTTCTATTTGGATGACCTGACTATCACCTGTCACGGCACCACGGTCAGGGTGCTCAAGCGTGTTGTCAGTGCCGCCAAGGAGCTTGCCCGACTCATCGAGGTTGACTTAGAAGCCAGGATTGCGGTTCACAAAGGAGCCGTCGTTGCGTCGTCGGTGTCGTTAGCCAGGCTTCTCACCTCTGCCCTTGGGACCTCAGGGGGCAAGCTCCAAGCGGTCGCCACCAACTTAGGTTGTGATTTTACGGCGGGCAAGTCTTTCGGGTGCAATGGCGCTGCTGCTAAGCGCAAGGTCAGGCTCAGGACTGCGACGGTCAGAGGGCAACGCCTGCGTAAGCTCACCGCGACCGCGGGTCAACGATGTCGCAAGATTGTTACTACGGGGCTCCTTCCCGCTGGGGCTTTCGGGGCCGCCGTCGACGGGCTCAGCAACAAGTCCTTGTATAGGCTGCAATCTCTTGAGATTGCCCAGATCACTCCGTGTTCCTCTAGGAAATCCAGAAGCGCGGCCTTCGCCCTCACGGGGTCCAGGGCCGACCGTTGGGCCCTCGGGCCCGTCCTCAGGTGGGCCCAGGAAGTGTGGAACACTACGCTCGGCAAGTATGTGACCCCAGGGACCATAGGACTGCTCGAGCTCAAGGAGATTTATAACCACGTGCAGCCAGCAGGACATTTGAGTTATAACGCCGTGAGAGGACCACTCAGCGCGGCAGCTCACGCGCTTCAACGTATTGGCTGGAGTTTCACATCCGCGTTTACGCTGCAGGACCACTTTGGCAGGACGGTCAGGCTCACTGACACCTCGCCGAGCCTGCTTTCAGACTTGCTTCACCAAGGATGCCAGAGGAGATGGGAAACCATGGCCGCTAAGAGCATACCCAGCCCAACCCCCATGAAGCGAGTGTGTTTTGACATTGTTCGTTCCCTGCTTTCCCCCAAAAGCAAGAAGTTACCCCCCAGGTTTAAGGCTATCCTCCAAACCCTTGTGGTCCAGGGTTGGTGGACCGAGGAAAAACTCGCTAATATAGGCTATGATGTGCCTAATGAATGCCCGCTCTGTAAAGCCTTCGGGGACACCATACACCACCGTCTTTTCTCTTGTCAGCATCCAGAGGTTGTCGCCCCCAGGACAGAGCTGCTGCCGCCAGACGTTTTGCAGGCCGCGCTGGAGGCGCCAGAGAACAGCCCCCTGTACTGCTTCGGTCTTTTCGAGCATCCAGGGGAGCAGCATGATGATTTTCCGCTGCCCAGGGGGAAGCCCATTGTTCGATTTGTCAGACACGACGGACAGCCAGACACGGTACCGCACTTTGGGGGGCTCACGGGAACTGGCGGGTCGTGCACCAAGACAGGCATTGCGGAGTTAGACAGAGCGACGTTTTCGGTAGTGGCTTACAGTACCGACGGGGCCCCAGAGGCCTCATTTTATGGCGCTGTTGCAGCCAACCTCCCCCAGACTTCTCAGGCTGGGGAGCACATGGGCTTCCTGGTGCTCCAGGAGGCCCTCGCCAAACCTTCCAAGGCCTGGGTGGACTGCAAAGCGGTCCTGGATCAGCACGCTAGGCCACTGCCGACACGTCTCAGCAGTAAGCTAAAGTACTCAGGCCTGCACAAGCTAGCGCTTGCGCGGGACAGCAGACACCTCCTCGAGACGGCCTCTAAGGTCAAGAGCCATCAGAATGTGAACTCACTGGCTGGAGAGGCCAGACTCGCTGCCGAGATCAACACAGCAGCGGACAAGATGGCGAAGGCGGCAATGGACTGCCACCCAAGTTTCAACCCGACAGCGCTGCAGGAGTTGCAACGCAAAATAGAGGCCGCTCGAGCGATTGGTTTATATGCGCCCAGAGTTCTCGCCCTATGCCAGCGCAATAGGCACAAATGCGAGAGAGCCGCTCTGCCCTGTAAGGTTCAGGCCACCATTGTCGTGCACGACTGGGAGGTTCTTCAGGGGCCGATACCGTACAGGTGCAGAGCTTGTTTTACGTACGCCCGATCTTATAAGGCAGCCGTCGCACGAGAGAGACAAGCATGTCAGCCTCTGGCCAGCGCATTCAGGCGCGGCCTTGAAGGCATCCACGCCAGCCACCAGATGGCAATAGCGCATTTTGCCGTGCCAGTTGTCTTTTGTTTAGTCTGTGGGCGCTATGCCCAGTATGCTTTCAGAGGCTTGCCAGCCACTTGTCCTGGACGCCCTCCCAAGAGCGGCGGACGTGCGAACATCAGAAATCGTCTTCTGGCTGGCAAGCATCCAAGGTTTTCAGATTTTGCTTCAGAGTCCGAGCGGTACAACACCGCAGAAATTCAAAGGCAGCAGCGGGCGCAGCGTGAACGTGCAGCAGCGCGCGCAGCGATGCCACTCCCGAGTCAGCCGCACCCAAGATCGGAGCCTCGCCCACAGAGGTTCGAGGCTGGTCGAGGGCGCCAGCAGCTTTCCAGCAGGCGCCTAGAGGAGGATGGGGAACTCATCCCTCCTGTGGGTTTCGGCGAGGACGACTCGGGATCGTCGGACTAGGCCCCCGTCCAAGGCCCACCGCCACCTCGGCGGTGCTGCGCGCTTGTGAGGGGCCACCCGCCCGACGGTCTCTGCCCTGGGTCTCCGCCACTGGCACGCCCAGGCACCGTCGGGCCACCCCACCTGGAGGGTGACTGGCCAGAGCCGCGTGCGTATGGCCCGAGCATGAAAAAAAAAAAAAAAAAAAAAAAAAAAACCTCTCTCCTGTCCCCCCCCCTCTCTCCTGTCCCCCCCCCCTCTCTCCCCCCCCCCCTGTCTCCTTTCCCCCCCCCCCTCTCTCCTGTCCCCCCCCCTCTCCCCCCCCCCCTTTCTCCTGTCCCCCCTCCTTCCCCTCTCCCTGTCCCCCCCCCCCTCCCCCCTCCTCTTTCCTGCCCCCCCCCCCTTCGTTTCTCCTGTCCCCCCCCCCCCTCTCTCCTGTGCCCCCCCCCCTTCTCTCCTTTCCCCTCCCCTTCCCCCCCGTCTCCCCTGTCAAGGGCGCAGTGCAGGGGGGGGGGAACTGGAGGAAAGAAAAGGTTCAGAGGCGGGGAGGGGTGCAGGAAGAGGGGGGGGGGGAGCGGAGAGGAGATTGCAGGGGAAGGGGGGGGTGCAGGAAGAGTGGGGGGGGCGCCGGAGAGGAAGGTGTAGGGGGGGGGGCCGTCCCGGCATTTGGGAGGCCTTGCGTGTCAATTCTTTCGTCGTTTGCATTCCCCCCCCCCCTTGCAGAGCAAAGCTTGAGCGAGCTCAAGCCCACGCTCTCAGAAACTCACACGCCGGATTGGCGGAAAACAAACAAAGGCAACGAAAACGCTGTACTCGGTGCGTGGGACGCATGCGGGCGGTCCCACTAGGGGCTTCGGTGGAGCCCCCTATGGGGCCACGAAACGTGTGAGAGATGTGCTGAAGCGGGTGGTGCTGATGATGGTGATGGAAGAGGGAGGAGGGGGAGGAGGAGGAGGAGGAGGAGGAGGAGGAGGAGGGGCAGAACGCGGGCACCGCCATTTCAAAACGAGGACCCAACACCACAGGATGGTTGGGAACAACATAGGGGCATAATTCTGATTGGTGGTCAATTCAATCACACGGCACGCTGGGTTGTCCAGTCGGGGGCCGACAAGAAAGATTCGTCCGCTGGGATGACGACATTGCAGTTTTTGCCAAATAGAAGGGTTGGGAATGGTGGTGCGAAATGGTTAACTTGTTCGAGACATGGCAAGGTTTCGGAAACGAATACGTCAAACACATGTTGCGGTAATTGTTATACACTCGCCCATCCCTCCATCCATCCGTCAACCCTTCCTTCCATCCGTCTTCGACGCTTCACCTGTGCAGCAATCCCGCCTCCCTGGAGGCCAGCGCGTTTAGCGCGCTTGCCGCCCTTGTAGGGTCGCCCCGCGGCGATGGCAGACTTCCGCTTCCGCTCCCGGTTCACTTGCGCTTTGCTGCAGCGTTGGGGCTTGTGGGCAATACAGCACCGTCTCCTTCCGCCTCAGTTCGTCCGAATGTGATTTCGCTCGCTTCGGTTTGTCCTGTCCGATCTGTGCTGTTCGGTCCGCCTGCTTCGATTCGCCTGTTTTGAAAGGCGGACAGAATCGAAGAAGACGAAGCGAAAGAGGACGAAACGAAAGAGGACGAGCCGAAAGAAGACGAAACGAAAGCGGTCGAAGTGAAGGTCCACCCCGCCTCCACCTTTCCGAGGCTGGAATTTGTGTGCGCCCCTTGCTTCGGGTTCCGATTTCCCAGGACATCGGCAGGCGCCAGAAGGCTCGTGCAATCTTGGGGCCAGAAGGTGTCCGTATCCGTTGCCTCCCGTGAGGTTTCTTTGAACATAGGGTTCCGCATTGGTGGGCGCGTATAATGACGAATGCACTGCGCACACAAACGCACCCATACCCACAGGTCGGAGGGAGGAATATTGGCTATGGGTGTGGGTGCAGGTTGTCGGACCCCTTATTTCGACCCCTGGGGGAGGCTCCCATTCGAGAGAGGACCCCCATCCGACAACACGCGCTCATAACCCCATCCGTCCACCCTGTAGGTATGGGTGTGTGTGTGTGCTGTTCGTGCCGCGTCCTCCCTCTCCTGCATGGCGGCACAGTTCGCATTAACGGCAGCCCCTTTTGAGCCTCTCGTCGCCAGCGCAGTCACCCTCTGCCTAGCCGCCGGCTCAAAACAGTGTGTGTTGATCGTTCGTCGTATGAGCCCTCCGTCCCCTGATGGGGGGCCTGTTTTCCACCACCGCCACCATAAGTTGGAGGGGGGAAAGGAAGTGGAGGATGAGGAGGAGGAACAAGAGGAGGAGGCGGAGGAGGAGGAGGGGGACCACCTCCCCCTCCCACTTCTGGTGGTGGCGGTGGGAAGCAAACCCCCCCCATTCCCCCCCTGCAGGCAAGGGTGTGTGTTGCTTGTTCGTCGTACCCTCCGACCTCGGCACCTCGAACGCGCCCCTCCTCCTCCTCCTCCTCCTCCTCCTCCTCCTCCTCTGCGGAATGACATTGAAGAAGCAACACAAGTTCGCCCCGCGCACAGGGATGACAGTATCACAATGGGATGACGAACCGAGCCGACCGCCACAGCTTTGAGGAATACAGTACGAGAACAACGATTGGCAGGAGTGGATCGCCGACCGCGCCACCATGCCGCACACCTACGAGTCATTGCACGCAGACGACTGCGGAGATCAGACTCGCCAGGACCGAGCAGGCCAGAATCGGTACCTACGCAGAGCCCCCAAACGACGTGCAGGACCCGCACGAGGAGTGATAGCGCAGACACCATGCATGAGCAGCGACAGGCGATATCACGACAACGAGCACGGACGGAAGCACAACCAAGCGAACTTCAGCAGGTGGCATGCTGATTTACATGCGCTGATACGCCTGGAAGGACCAGCCCCACAGAGAACCACACGGTCGCAGTCGTTCTCCCAGGACAAGGGCAATGAGAAGCTCGTGAACCAAGGGCAACAAATCCTTCATCGATTCGAAGCGCCACGAGAGTATGGACGAACAGAAGCAACCTCTTCCAGATCCATGACCGTCAGCACGGACACGTGTACATGGTGCCATACAGCGATTGCGAGCAGAGCATCATGGCTGCGCTACAGGCTCAGGCGACCACAACGACGAAGAGAAAGTGCTGACGCAGAAGACGTCCCCCAACAACGGGCAGATGACCAGGCAGCTGTCAGGCAACCAATGGGACCGCATTTCGATCGATGGCGAGTACTCAGCAGTGACCGCCGCGGAAGCAGCGGACACACCCTATGCGGAGAAGGCCGAGGAGAAGAACAGCAACGACCTGGGGGCACCGCACCTCCACATCGGCGTAGACTTTCACCTGGAGACGGGGCTCACAAGACGATTTTGAAGGAGGATCGCTCGCTGACCTACGTGATGGGCATGCAGGGCTTCGGGGACATCGCCTCGTATTTCAAAGTCAAAAAGGCCTACAGCGAAGGGGGACAGCCATAGAGATGGAAACTCTAGCCGACGCTCAGCAGCCTCGCATGCAGCCCTCGGACACCCTCATGGGAGGACCAGATCAACGCCTCTCGAGAAGGAAGACAGGAGCCGCCCGTCAAGATCAGCCGCACCAAGCAGAATGGGGACCTCAGGAAAGCCGTTGAGGACAAACTTCGAACGGAAGAGGCAGTGCAGATATTCTGAGCACCGCCGCCATCAGGTCTCTTGAGGAAAGTACAGGCAGCACTGTGAGTACGTCAGCTGGCGATGGAGGGGTAGAGATGACAGAACGTAGAGAGCTAGTCAGGGATAGCAGTCGCAAGGCGATGGGACGCTGCGACGCACCACCATCAGTGATGGCTCCTCTTGCTTTCTTTTACGCGAAGTCGTTAAGCACCTGTCTCGGGGATTTAGGCGCCAAAGGGTGCCTCTCTTTTCTTCTCTCCCTGGTTCCCGAGGCGTTCGCCTGTTTCGGTTTGTTCCCTCGTGGGCCTTTCGCTCCGCCGCATCACGGGAACCTGGACCTCGGGACCAGACATGTGCACAACGACGGGGCGCGCAGCAGCTTTAGAGAGAGGAACTTGGGGTGGGGGGGGGGGTGGGATGGGGGAGGGGGGGGCGGTGGCGGGAATACTGCTACACTGGGACACGTCCCGAGCCAGGGGCGATTGGCCAGACGGCCCTAAGTCCCTGCCGTTTCCATAACAATTTTGTTTTCGGGAAGGCCCCGCGCTGCAGCGGGCCGAGAGGCTAAAAAGCCAGGGTCCCGTAGGCGACCCGTCGATCCGCCGATCTGACGTGCCAGCAGCAATTAGGTTCGTATGCAGTCGAACCCCAGACAGCTGCCAAGGCTTCCGACTCCCCCTCCCCCTTCCTCCTCCTCCTCCTCCTCCTCCTCCTCCTCCTCTTCCTCCTCCTCCAGGAGCACCTGGAGGTCGTCGAGGCCGCGAAGAGCAAAGGCCCTCACATCCGCTCGCCCCTCGCCGCGCGCCTGTCGCGCGGGGGGCGGGCCCTCTCTCTCGCGCCCGCGCCGCGTGCTCGGGGCCGACGTCTCCAGCCCCCCCCCCCACCACCCTTCGGCCATGCGCAGAAGGGGGGGCGCCCACCGGTCGTTGACAGTAGGCATTTCTGAATTCCCAGATTCCCATCTTTTGAAGCGAGGAGGACGAGGACGAGGAGGACGGGAAGGAAGAGGAGGAGGAGGAGGGTGCCTTCCTACTTCAATGATCGAGCGGCTTCACCTTTTGCGTCCCCCTTGGGGGGCGGACGGCGCCCAATCTCTTTTTGTCAACGCCTTCCTTCTTCATGTGTTTCTACCTACTTCTGCCGACCGATGGGTATGGGGGAGGGGGAGGGTTTCTCAGAAACGCCTCTGCTTCTTAGAAGCCGCGGGCCTTGTCTGCAGATGTAGGGCCCGGGCCGCCTTCTAAGAAACATGTTCCTTCTGATGAGCCCCCCCCCCCTCTCCCATGCCGCCTTGTGCGCTCCACCAGACCACGCTTCCAAAAATGCAGATCGTTCAATATCGACCGATTTTGGTTCGCCGGCGGCGTTCAACGTGGCACGACGGCGACGGGGTCGCCGCCGGTCGACGCGACGCGAACCTAATTATCGCATCACCCCTTGGCGTTGCATCTGACAGCCCCACCCGAGCCGAGGGCGTTCAATTGCGGCGACCCCGCCGCGAGCGTTCAACGTTGAACGCCGCCAGGGCCAGCGACCCAGAGTCGGTCGATGTTGAACGATCTCGCTTTTCGGGGACGGCCGACCGGTCCATGTCGGCTCGTGCCATGGCCGTGCCGTGCCCTGGCGTAGGAGGAGGCACGTCGAGTGCCTCGCGCCGTTGTGCCTTTCCCTCTCCCTCGCCCCTCCCGCCCCATTGCTGCTTTCGAGGAGGATCTGAGGGAGGATGCCGATGCGGAAGCGGAGGAGGAGAAGGAGGAGGAGGAGGAGGCGTCGGCGAAGGCGGAGGCGGAGGAGGACGAGGAGGAGGAGGAGGAGGAGGCGGAGGAGGAGGAGGAGGAGGAGGCGAAGGAGGAGGAGGAAGACGACGACGAGGAGGAGGAAGAGGAGGAGGAGGAGGAGGAGG